TTTATCCATTTCATTTGCCCACGGCTGCTCTATCCACTGAGCCAAACCAGTTCGGCAATAAAAACATATTTTTAAAAAGAAATGTAAACTTCAAGGGATAGTAGAATGTGGTGATTTTAACACCATCATTTTCTTAAGGCGCGTGTTTTTTACATTTAACGTTACTGTTGAAAGTCTTTAGCACCATCTCTACAAAGGGCTGAGGTGGACGTCACCAGTAAGGGGACAAGCGGGTGTCGTGCCTCCTGGGCAATGAGGAGGACACGGATCACTTCCCCGGGCCCTGCCCGAAGCGCACCCCCTGAATCTGACCACAGGAAACAGACAAACCAAGCCGAGGACTGCCCCAGTGACTGGCCTGTCCTCTTCCAAAGCGTCGGGGTCACCAAAGCCACGGGAAGGCTCAGGGACGGATCCAGCGTGAAGCGGACAAAGAGACACGACGATCAGACACAAGGCGTGGTTCTGGGATGGATGGGAAGAGAGGGAGGGGGAAACGCAGCCATAAGGGGTGTTCGGGGGGAGCCGGGGCGATGCACGCATGGGCCGCACATCGCGCAGTAACACGGATTCGGTAGGGAGTGTCCTGAGTGTGGTGACGTGGGTGATCACGCAGGAGAATGTCGCTGTTCTGGGAGAGGCACCTCGAGTGTTTACGGGCGCAGGGCCGTGCCGCCTGCAGCTCACACGGAGCGCCACGATGATTCATATAAAACATTAAAGCCAGAGAGGAATGCACGGACAGAGCATGAGCGGTTCGCGGATCTGCGTGGGGGACCAGCGATCTGTGACTCGTTCAGGGAGAGGGTGGGAGGGAGGGGTGGCGGATGGTGAGCGGAGGGCACCGGTGCACAGCTCAGCCACCAACACGCTCGCTCTCCCGTCCTCTGCCTTAGTTTTCCTCACGGCTCTTGCCCCTTCCTGGCATTTCTATGTGTTCAGCGTGGCCTGTCCCTCCCTAACGGCCTGTGAGGCGGGAATTTTATGTGTTTCATTTGCTGCTGTCTCCACTGCCCAACCCCATTGCAGACCCAGCAGACACAC